GCCGAAGAGCCAGCGTTGTCCGTAGACACCTCCAAGGCCATGTGGCCAGCATGAATGTATGGAGCACCGTTACCTTCCTGCCGGAGCGGTACCTATTAATATACTCATATTTGCATGTTTTTGAACTCCTAGGTTGGCAGAAGCTGGAACTGACAGTGGAAGCTTACGCTGCTCCCCGGATTCGACCTTTCGGTCAACAAGTTTAGCAGCTCAGTGCTTTAATTCACTGCTCCACCTTTTATCATATCAGTGCTTAATCTTTCTCTACACCATCAACAAATATTTTCATTGTTATAGACTCATAGAGTTGGAAGATACCTTGTGGGCCATCCAGTCCAACACCCTACCAACACCCTGCCAAGAAGCAGCAAAATCGCATTCAAAGCAGTGACTGTACATTTCCAGGGAATACCTGGCTGATGATACATGACATCTGTGCTCTTTGCACACATTTCTCCCCTCAATGCAGTACATTCCTGGATGCAACACTTAATTTTTTTGCCATAACTGAATTTGTCCATAGGCGGATCAATTGGATAGGGTCTAAATCTGTTTTCTTCTTCAGGAGACCCCACTGCCTGCTTAGATTATTTGAGCTACTCTTAAATGGGGTTTTTTTTGGTCATGTCAGGAGCGACTTAAGAAATTGCAAATCGCTTCTGGTGTGAGAGAATTGGCTGTCTGCAAGGACATTGCCCAGGGGACGCCTGGATGTTTTACCACCCTTGTGGGAGGCTTCTCTCATGTCCCTGCATGGAGAGCTGGAGCTGATAGAGGGAGCTCATCTGCACTCTCCCTGGGTTCGAACCTGCAACCTGTCGGTCTTCAGTCCTGACGGCACAGGGTTTTAGCCCACTGCACCACTGGGGTCTCCTTATTAAATTGTATCATAGTCAGATTGCAGCCTGTGTAATTGATTCTATATAATTCAAGGATGAGCAATTTGTAGCTTTTGGTCAAAAACTGCCTATACGTGATTACTATCTTGTAAGGGGGAGCAATATGTATGTTTCTCAAGAACCGGGTGGGGCAAGCAAGAAAGTGGTAGGGCCCAAGGAGTCTAAGATACACGTAAGAGAGGGGAAAGGAAAAAGGGAAAGAGAAAACGGGTGGCAGAAACAAAAGGGGCATAATGACTCCATTTACTTTTGGTTTTGGCCTCCTTTACTATTGATATTCAGCCCCTGACAGATTATCCTCATGGAGATGTGCTCCTTGATAGAAAAATATTCCCCATCATTGATATGATGACATGGAAGCTGCTGAATACAAATCCTGCTCTAATCTGCCCCCTCTCTGCTTCAGGATTAAAGGAGTTTAAGGACCCTTGATCTATAGGAACATGGATATATGTCTGCTTCTTCAGTCTATAACAAGCATGGACAAACCTGGGCCCACCAGGTGTTTTGGACTTCAACTCCCACCATTCCTAACAACCTCAGGCCCCTTCCTTTTCTCCCTCAGCCGCTTAAGGGTCTGAGGCTATTAGGAATGGTAGGAGTTGAAGTCCAAAACACCTGGTGGGCCCAGGTTTGCCCATGGCTAGTCTATAAGAACCCTCCTTGTTTGGACTTAAGGATATAACAGGGAGGGAAAGATAAAATGAGGAGAATAAGCCGGTTGCCTAGCAACCACAGGCGAACTAGTGATGAGTTGCCCTCTTTGCAGAAAGTAGGCCTCACAGAGATGAGGTGTGTCTCTTGTGAGGAGTGACATGATTTTGAGCCTGTGAGCAAAAACAATTGGCATAAATTGTAACAGCCAACAGTTTTTATATCCACTTCAGGCCTCTATCTGCTCCACTGACTTTAAGAAGTCAACTAAAAGCCCACACTTTTTGGAAGGGTTTAGTTCAGTGGGTCTCAACCTGTGGATCCCCAGGTGTTTCGGCCTACCACTCCCAAAAATCCCAGCCAGTTTACCAGCAATTATGATTTCTGGAAGTTGAAGGTCAAAACATCAGGGGACCCACTGGTTTAGTTAATAACCCATTCCCAATTATCAAATGTCTTTTAAATTATCCCTACATGGAAACATACTACAAAGGGCTATCGCCCAGTATTCAGATTATGCCGAAATGGAGTCAGGGTCAGCCCCCTAACATTTTATATGAGCCCTAACACTCTCTTCTTAAGCGTATTCAGGGGCAGCCATGTTGGACATTTAGCAAAATGCAACAACGTTCACCAAAGAGCAATACCATTATCGCCCAACCAAAATATAAACTTTCAAAGATTTACTGGCTTCTTGATCAGGCAAAATTGTACGGGAAAAGGAAAATAGCARTGTTAGAGTCACAGGCCAATATTTTGCCTCAGATGTTAATTTTGTTGTCAGTTAGGACGGGGAGGCCCTGCTTTCCATCCCGCCATTGTCACAGGCGCGATTGGTGGGGATGAGAGACAGGGCCTTCTCAGTGATTGCTCCCCRGCTATGGAACTCCCTTCCTGGTGAGATCAGGTCGGTCCCCTCCCTCCTGTCCTTTAGAAGGATGGTAAAAACTTGRCTGTGGGACCAAGCTTTCAGGACAGGGCAATGAAGTGGCAATGGGAAAGATGACAGGGCCAATTGGATTTGATGCGGATGGCTAGGACGGTTTTAAATGGTGTTATTTTAAATGGTGTATTTTAATACTTCGATAAATGCTTTTTAATGTTTATGTGTTGTATCCAGGCATTGAATGTTTGCCGTGTATATGCTGTGCTCTGCTCTGAGTCCCCTTCGGGGTGAGAAGGGCGGAATATAAATGTTTTAAATAAAGAATAAATAAATAATGGTTTGAGATTTTAAAGCAGGCAGAGGTCACTCTGGGTCCTTCCACACAGCCCTATATCCCAGAATATAAACGTAGAAAATCCCACATTATCTGCTTTGAACTTGGTTATCTGAGTCCAAACTCAGATAATGTGGGATTTTATGCCTTGATATTCTGGGATATAGAGCTGTGTGGAAGGGCCCTCCTGTTCTTGTCCAGGTGAGGACTTTGCTGAAGGGAAAAATCTCAAAGATTTAATTCCCAGTCCATTGGCTACTTCTTGTTTCCCTTGTTGTGGGAATTTTTGGTATCTTCAAATCCAGAAAGTATTCAGGAGTAACTGTACTAGCCATATAGCAGAATATAACTAAATCCAAAATCCTGAAAAGAATGATACATTTGTTGTCTAATCAAAATACAGGCAGTCCCCAAGTTATAAACATCCAACTTATAAAAGACTGATAGTTAAGAATGGGGCTGAGAAAATGAGAGAAATTCTCACTTAGGTAGGAAAATTCACCCCTGAAAGAATGAATGCTTCTGGAACATGGCCATACAGCCTGGAAAACACACAGCAAGCCATGAAAGCCTTTGACAATACTCTTGAAAGAGGTATCTTGGGAAAAGTGTCTTCATTGAAGCTTTACTACCAATCCATGGTTCCACAACAAGCCAAACTTTTCAGAAAGTAAAGTGAAATCTTCTGAACAAGGGCACAGACAGCAAAGCAAACACCACAGGATGTTAACCCTTCCCTATGCTTTCCAAAAATAGATATCTACAGAATCTATCTTCTTTGTAACTTGGGGACTGCCTATCCACAGAAAACATTGTGAGGTCTTTTGAGGGTTTACTTAACTTTTTTCATCAGGCAAAGTTATTAATCCTATAGGAGCAGGAAAACAAAGTTGAGCACGCTTCTAAAATTGGTACCTAATAGTGGAAGAGATTAGTTTCAGCAGTTGTTTGATGCTTGTGTACAGAATCTTACCTGTATATAGAATTTTTTGTCATCTGGGCAGAATTTACTGCCATTTGTTGTGACTGCCTTCAATTTTCCATTTTGGGAAAGATGGTTGAGCAAGTATTTGCCCGGGAGCTTCAGGCATGTCTGGACATCTAGTCTAACTTCAGATTAACTCATGAAAAGGAAAATCAGTCTGTTTAGGAAGCCCTTCAAATATGGATTTATTATCGATATTTTATATCTATTTTATATAGCTGGGGCAACATAAACATTTCTCAGAAAGAAAGGGGTCGCAAGTGGGAAAAGTTTAAGAAGCCCTGGGCCAGAGTACACTTTGTCAGATGTCCAAAGTGCTATGTTAACCTAATATATACAGACTTACACATATAATTTTGACTAAAAAAATGAGGCAAATCTGTTAATTGAAGAACAAAAAGCCATGAACTGTAAGTGGGGGCCAGTCAGTTTCTATGCAGAATCAAATGCATTGCACACAGGATTCACAACAGTTCCCTGAATAGCAATATTATTTTTTCTGCACTAGTTTACCTTTTTAATTAGAACAATTCTTTTCTGTAATAAGGCTATCATAATCTCAACTGAGTCCAAATTTCAAGAAGGGTCAAGTTTCTGAATAAATTCTAATTAAATTGTAGACCTTGGTGCCTCATTTTGAAGAGTTTTTTTTACTTATGTGTCTTTGGAGAGAATAAAATATTATTTGATTGGCATTTGATTATTGCCATATTAGCTTTTTATGCTCCCTTCTGAAAGTGTGGCTGATGGCATTAGGTTTAGATAACCATCTTGTGGAAGTGGTTTAGCTGTATATTTCTGCATGGCACAGGTTTAAATTAGATTGCTGTGGTTATTTCTTCTAACTCTACGATTCTGTGAATTTGCGAAAAACAGGGATTGCCATGGATTTAACAAGCTATGATGTGTGAAGTTTTGTTTAGTGAAACAAGTGTGGGCTTGATGTGTGAAGTTTTGTTTAGTGAAACAAGTGTAGGCAAACCTTTTCATGAAAAGATAGGCAGAAACTCTGTGAATTGTGTTAGCTGTCAGGGATTCAGAGCTGGAGACATAAGTTAATGAGAAAAATAGTATGAAGGCATACCCAGCCCCACCCCTAAAATTAATGCTCAAAATGAAGATGGGAATGAATTTTATACAGCGACAATGTTGGTGGCTTCTAGCCTACGCTTTTCTTTGCTTTGTACAGATGAAAGCTAGAACAGAGACATCGTTTCCTCTTTCATTTTTTTCTTATCACAGATATTATTCGCAGTGATATTGCCTTGGATAAGCAGAAAGGCTGCAAGATCGCACAGCATCCAGATATCATGTTGGAGCTTCAGAGAGAAAAGGCAGCTCAGATGCACCTGGTTCTCCTTAAGGAGCAGTTTTCCAATACATATACCAATCTCACACTAACAGGTAAGGCTGCATGTCCATCTTGAGCCCAGGATTGCTAATCCATTGAACCATTTGCAAAATTTCCCCTCTTTGTTGGAAAATTCCATAAACAGCTACAAACCCATGGGAAAATGCTAAAAAACAAATAAACAGAGTATGTCGTTCTCCAGATATTGTTGAATTGTAGCTCTCGTCATCTGTCACCTTTGACTATGCTGGCTAGGGTTAATGGGAGTTGGGACCTTATCAGATGCAGTCTTCTCCCTGTTCCTCCGTGCTGCTGAAATGGAATCCCACATGATGCAAGGCAACTTATGGCGGAACTCCATGGGGCTCAGTTTCAGCAGCATGGAGGAACGCAGCCCAGAGTTCCTTTGGAGGAGTTATGTGTTACCCAATTCCTAATGGCACAAAGTGGAGAAACGAGAGGGAAAGGCAGACCTGATGGGGAAAAGGATGTAGAATGGCAGCTGACAGATCTGGACAGGAGGGAACAGAGTAAAACATTTCTCTCCACTGCCCCACGCTTTCTGACTGCCAGTCTGTTAAGGTCCTAAAAGCCCAGTGACATCTGAAGAGCCACTTGTTATATGTTCTGTATCTTTACCCTAAATAGTAAGAGATCAATATACATTCAAAATGTTGTACAGAGTTTGCTTCCTTACTTGATTTGCAGCTTTGATATTCCTACCACATGAGAGCAATAGAAAGGAATGAACCAACCATGTAACATATAAATCAAAGTCTGGTCCCAAAGAAAATAAAAGTCTAGGAAGTACTGTAAGTGTTTTTCACCTGTTTATTTAATTTGGATAGTCAGTGCCTGTTTGCTCGACAATCTCTGGATTTAACTACATAACTTGATGACAGCACAGAGCAGGCTTAGTAATACAGCTATGAAACTGAAGAATATCCAATGTAGGATAGTGACTAGAATGTTGCATTGAGAAGTTTCCATTATGCTATAAGCGCAATGGGTAACATCTGGGACAGTCTTGCTTAACTTCACCTAACTTTCAAGGTTGTTTTTCTTTTTTTTAAGAATTTAAATTTATTTTATATATATATATTATTTATTTATTTATTTTGCTTCTATACCGCTGTTCTCAGCCCAGGGGCGACTCACAGCGGTGTACAACATGGGAAGAACAACTACAAAACACAGTATAAAAACAATTCTCAAACCATTATGCAAAAGACATTATACAAAAAGCATTATACAAAACATTGTCATTACTGCGAAAACCATTCAGCGTCGTCTCATCATCCAAACCACAATCCAATATCATTTTCCGGGTCAACAGTTATGTTTTAGCCAAGGTTGTTCAGTTGTTCTATTTTTAACTTTTGTTAACTGATTTGTTTTAATTTGTTATTTGCACATGGCATTGAATGTTTGCCATTTTTTGCTTTGGGAAGCCACCCCAAGTCTCTCCGGGGAAAATGGGCAGGTTAAAAAAAAGTTTATTATTATAATTATAACCATTTCCCAAAAATCTTGTATATATTTACAGTCCCACCACATATGCATATAAGTTCCAGTTTCCTGACACCCTCTCCAAAATTTTTCATTATAGTTTCGATTCACAATGTTTAGTCTTCTCAGTGTTAAATACCACTTCCAAATCAATTTATAATAATTTTCTTTTATTTTAATTGACATGTTTTTAATTGTTTTTCTTTCCATATTCTTTCTCAGTTATTTTTTATTCCTACCTCCTCCTACTTCCTCTTCCTATAATTCTCTTAATATTAGTTTTTTCCTGTAACCATAATTACTATTTTATGTATTTTACTTGTTGTTCCTTTTAATTGTTCGTTATTTTCATTTTTTAACCCTTTTAGTATTATTTCCTCAAATTGTGTTTTTTGTTTTCCGGTTTTATTTCAGACCCACCAATTTTTATTCCATGTTTCCAGTTGACTCCAGTGGAGTCATGAAATATTTATTCCTCTCAGTTCCCCTCATTTTTACTTTTCCCATTTTTGTTCTATCCAATTTCCTACCATTTTAGTTGCCTTTTTCCAATTCTTTCTCTAATATTTTCTTGAATTCCTTTTGGAAATCCCTTTCCATTATTATTAGTGTTAATACAGAATTCTTACTAACTAATTATCCTTTATATTTGTTGATATTTCCTTTATATTTCCTAATAACATATTTCCAATCTATTTCATCTCTTTCTTTAAAACTTCCTTAAAAATATATTGTTCTTTCTCCACTTGATGCCCTTATTCTCTGATTCCATCCATTCTAAACCCTTGCTATCATCTTTTCTACTGCATATCTTAATTGGTTTGCCTCATAATATACATTTTTATATTTGGTAGGCCTCATCCTCTTTTTTTTGGGATTTGTACCAGAGTTGTTTGTTTAATATGTTATTGTCACCATTATTGCAATATTTATTTATGATTTATTGCCATTTTTATTTCTTTTTCTGAAAAATTTAATGGAATCATTCTGAACAAAACATTTATTTTAGGTAGAACTTCCATTTTTACTAATGCTATTCTACCAAACCATGAAAATTGTACATTGTTATATTTCTTTAATTTTCCCTCTATATTTTTTTCTTAGTTCTTCTAAGTTTTTTTCTTTTTTATAGCTTTTAGATTTTTGGTTATGGTTATTCCAAGGTATTTTTTATTCTCTTTCATGCATATTTTCATATTTTTTATATCTGTTTCTTTTTTAAATTCTTCTTCCTGCTTTGCGTTGTTAAATAGCATTGCTTCTGATTTATTCCAGTTTATCTTCAATCTAGTCACCCGTTCAAATTCTGTTAAGTGTTTCTTAATTATCTCCATTTTCTTTGCTATCTCCTTTACTGTTAACAACATTCATCTGCAAATAAGATAATTCTTCCTAAATTTGTTCCTATATCTTCTAATTCATTATCTTTCCTTATTACATTATTACCATCGCAAATAAAATAAGAGACATAGGACATCCTTGCCTTGTGCTTCTTGTTAGTTTTATCTCTCTGTTGACTCCATTTATTATTAACTTTGTATAATTATCCAAATACATTTGGCTCAGTATATTTTTAATTCTCTTTCCTATTCAGAATTTGTTTATAATTGTTTGGATAGTTGGCCATTTTACACTGTCGAAGGCTTTGAATATATCTAATGTTAAAATCCCTGCTGTTCTTTTCACCCCCTTCTATTATCTGTATTTAATTTCTTACTCTACCTTTCAGGTTGGGCATTTATCTCCCTTTTACAAACCCACATTGATCTTGTTTTATGTATTTATACATACAATTACTCATCGTATTAGTAATGAATGCTGTTAGAATTTTAGAATCTTGATTGATTAATGATATTGATCTATAAGAGCCGGGGTCTGTTAAATCTTATTTTGGTTTAGATATTAATATCAATGATTGCTTCCAAAATTCCGATATTTTTTCTCCATTCATTATTGCATTATATAATTCTAGTAGTTTTGGGGTTATTGTTACAAGATTGCTGTGAGGATAAAGTGAAGAGGAGCGTAATGTCCTCATTGAAGGAAAGGCAGAATATAGAGGCAGCTGCTGAATAAGATTATTTTGTCACAGAAACTGCTGTTCCTACCCTCAAAACCAAACAATCAGGAAGCATTGTAATTAATTTAAAAATATTGTTTTTCCACTATAAATAAAACTGAAAGCAAACTGTGTAGCTATATTAAACTATGACAGGATCACATGTGGCTATTGTATCTCTGCTATAGCCTTCAGACCTGCAGTTGGCTATCTGTGATCTGGAAGTTCTCTTTGGGTGCATCTACATTGAATAATTAATGCTGTGTGACACCAGGGTTCAATGCTATAGAATCATGGAAGTTGTGATTTCACATGGTCTTTAGCTTTTTCTGCCACAGTGGTGGTGCCTGAGCAAACCCATGATTCTGTCGCATTGAGTCACGACAGTTAAAGGGGTGTCAAACTGCATTAATCAATTCCTCAGTGTAGATGCATTCTAATAACAGTTTAAAAACTATCATTCAAGGTTCATGTGGCCAAGTTACACACAGTAACCAGTTTAAACACTGTGGAAAACCCACAAGTATCCCATTCTTTTATTTATTCCCCCCTGCACCTGGTACTGAGAGTCATACATATTGTCTTAAGTGATAAGAGTCATATAAAGCCACCAGGACTAGTAACGTAGACTTGTGAGACACAATACCATGGTGCTTTTATCTTCAGAGAATTCTGCTGTTGGCTTTCTAGCAATACTGCTTATTTGGAAAGGGCTAGGAATGTTGGTAAGCCTTGCAAAAGCTTTCTGTAGATTTTTATATGGGTCTTTGCCTATACAAGCAACACCAGGCGTTTTGAAGCATTTTGACACTACTGAAAATAGCAGCACATTAGGGTATTTTTTTTTTAAAAAGCCTATTCCCTCTCCTTGCCCTCGCTTGCATCAGCAGAAGGGACGCAGAAATGACTAAATTTGGTGTCCTTGAAACCAAAGCGGCACATGCACTTTGTGTGAACCCAGTAAATATTAAAGAGCAAATATAAAAGAGATAATAGCCCAGACAGAGCAGAGTGACTGTTTCTATTAAGGGTGTTGTTTGAATTATCCATGAAATGGGTCCTGGAGTGATTGACAGACTGTGAGGAGGAGCTGCAGGATGCTCATAAACCACTTAGCTCTTGCCTGGCACACAAGAGGGCTGAAGAAAAAGAGTCCATTCTCTCACCTCTGGCCAATGGACGGCAGTGAAAAACACTACCAAGGGTTGTCCAGGTTTCTGCCACAACCTGGAAAGTGAGGTCCCAGCTAAGTTTCTCCCCTGCTTTCTAGGGAGTGCCAACTGAATGCTAAGCTCTTGTGACATCAGAATCTGTGTTAGCCTGGTAAACATAGCCATACTTTGCAGCTGCCCCAGTCTCCCGAGAAAGAGGTCTAGCTGCGATGGATGCCTTAAGTTCAGTCTGTCAGACTTACATTTGGGCGGGATCCCTCTAAGCCATTTCTCATTTTCAGTAACACAATCCCCTTGACTGTTTATTCCCACT